AACTATCAATTTAAAATACAAAACACAAAAAAGAAACCAATATTTTAAACTCAATATAAATAATTAAGAAATATAAGCATTTCAAAACATTCATGTAGAGCTATATAAACCTGCTCTACAATCACTACTATCACTTTTACTACCTTCTTCAAAAATTCTTCTAATTCAAAATATAATACCAGATCCTATATATCAAAACCAACTCATAAACCTATATTAAAAAATACTACTTTTGAATTCAGACAATCTACACTTTTATACAGATACCTTAATTCTAAATTCACAAACAGATAACATATCTACTGGCATTGCCTAGATTCTTGAAAATAATATCTAAATTAAATTTAATATTTCTATAACTTATGCATCAAATTCTATATATGCAGAATTAGTAACATTTATTTTCTTATTTTTTATTCTAACTGCCAATTATTAAATTCACATTCACATTGACAGTCAATTGATCATTCAAACTCTTACCAACTCTATACTTTATAACTATAACTTATAAATCAAATAAAATAATTGGAACATTATACATATCTTAAATTTTTTAGTAAAACACAAAAATATAAATTATACTACATACAAAGTCAAATCATATTTAAACAATACTTTATACAATATAGTTAACACTTTTACCAAACAGGATACTAACAATACTAAACTTAAACTTAACTTTGAGCACTTTTATTTATCTATTTTATTTACTTAAAATCAAATTCCAATTAAATATAAACTATATAAATTCTGTAAGAATTTACTCTTAATCAAAATATTTAACAAACTTCTTCAACTAAAATTATTATAAAACTTTTCAATTATAAATATTCTACTATTAACCAAAATTATTAACTTTCAAATTCTAATCTTAAATTATATTCTATTAAAAATATAATACTTTTTAACAATCTACCAACAATGTCTAATTTAAATATTCACTATTTTCTTCTTTATCTAACTTCAAACTGCTTATATTGCAATTAATATAAAAATACTAAACATTTATTTTTATGTTCACTTTATCTTTACAACTTCAAGGACATTCTCATCAATAAGATTACCAATATTCTAAACTCATTAAACCTTCTAGAAACTTCTTCAAATACAATATTACAAATTCTTTATTCACAAAACCTTTATCCTAGCTTTAGCATATATAATATAATTCTTTCACTTATACAGAAAACAATAACTCTTAACTAATATATGCAACTGCAACTAATTCTAAAAAAATCAACTAACAATTTTCTCATCTTTTTATCTAACTCTCTACTCAAATAGTTTAATTCTTCTATCTGGCAAACTCATAAAATTAAACATTATAAATGAAAATTAGTACAAGAAATTCTGGCTTCTACTAAAAAGAAAAACAAACATTAACTTACCTATTTCTCAATCTTCAAACCTCAATAATACTACTTTTATATTCAATACTAATATAGATATCTTTATTTTTAAAATCTTGTCTTAAAATTTCAATATATATACTTGTTTTTATTAATTAAAGTATTTTTAAAGGGTTCTTTTTTATTTCTTATATAATTAATAATTACCAAAAGTTAACTTAACTAATAACAGAAAATAAAAAAATAATATTATACTAAATATTATTAATATATAGCAACAATAGTATAGTTTAGAAATAACACTTAGCAATATATTTATATCTAATTGATATATTCATGTATTTTCATTTTTTCTACTTGATATTATATAAAAAAAAAAACACTTACTGTATATATATACAATGTATATTACTATTATAGAACAGAACAGATTAAGGCTATCTTATTAATATTTATATCTAAATATCATCTTATTGAATATTACTAAGTATCAATAGGATAACAGAACTAAAACTTTTTATGTAGATTACTTATACCAAAACTACAAAAAAACCATTTGATTTTTCTCAACTTTCTATTAAGTAAACCTTAATTAACCTTTTAACCAAAGTTGTTCAGCACACTTTTTTCTTTCTAGGTGACTAAGTTTTATTTTAAATAATACTTGGTTGCTAAGAAATGTTCTAAAAACTAGATTTTTGATTTTTGTCTTTTTAAATATAATTTTATTAATTAAATTTATCTTTATACTTATTTAAATGTTGTTTAGCTTATTGAGACGAATATTAAATATATAGTTATTAAAAACAGACTAAAACTCATAGAGATATAAGCAAAAAGTGAAAATAAAAACTTGCTCTTTGCAAGTTTTTTCATTGGCAATTTTAGGAAAACTTGCTGGGTTGTCCTAAAAATTTCACTTTTTTGATACCTATTAGAATTTTCTAAACATCCAATCAGCTTATTTAAAATCTAAACTATTTTCAAAACTTTTTTAATTAGTCTAAAAACCCTTAAACAGAATAAATTTTTTTAAAAAACATATCTAAAAATCTATTTTTAGAGAAAAATGCCAACCTTAGTAACAACTATATCTGATATTATTGACCTTGACTATTTTTACCAGAAGGTACTAAAAGCTTTAAAATTGGTATCTATAAAGATGCAGCAACCTTATCATGTTCTATTTCTGCAAACAAACAACCTAACAACTGTAATGTTACTGAACTTAGAAGAAGCATCAAAAGTAGTTATTACTTTAAAGCATCTGAATCTAGCTCTATTGTTATATGCTTTTATGCCAAATACCATATACTAGGGGCCTTCGAATTGCCTATTTTTAAGACCCAGCCTGGACTACATTTAGGGTTAAAATTTTTTTTCAGACTTAGTCTAACCTGTATTTAGAGGTAACATTTTTTTGCTAGTCTAGTCTAGCCCAAATATATTAAATTTTTTTTTTAGCCTGGCCTAGTCTGCAAAAGTTCTTATATAATTTTACAAAATTTTAGGCCTGCACTGGCCACAATTATGAAATTTTGCAAATTTTCAGCCTGTCCTAGTCTGCAATTATAAAATTTGCTTTAGATCCAGCCCAGTCTGCAAAAATTTGTAGGCCAGGCCAGGCTGTGGGACCCAATGCAGGCCTCTACTATACACACTTTATCTTAACAACTAATCAAACTTACAAACAACATAAAACTACAAAAATCATTTCAAAACTTAAAGATAAAAAAACTTTAGCAAATAATATTGCAAATTTTACTAAGTTTGTTCTGCCATCATCTACAGCATTACTCTTACCAATCATATATAAATCATCTCTGCTAAATGTAATCTACTTATTGCCTATAAAGAAATGAATAACCAACATTACTTTGCAACAGATGCTACTTTACATAATAATAAATCTTATCATAAAGCTTGTACTAATACACAACAATTTATTCAACAATCAAGTTCTTCTCCTATATTCATTCAAAAATTTTAACAAACAATTAGCTCTTACAATCTACTTGCATTGAACTTACCTTTACAACCTTACCTAACAACAATAGCAATATTACAAGTAATATGGATCTTAACAATAACACTACTAATAACAATAACAACTAACAATACCAACAACAACATTAACAACTGCTACATCAAAACCCACTTTACACTAATAAACAATAGCAACAACAACAACAACAGTAACAAACAAGCCAACAACAACAACAGTCAACACAAATCAATATAACTAACAACCAACAAAAAATTAAAGCCAACCCAATATTTGACTAGCTTGGCAACTTTCCAATTTTCAAAAATATGAAGGATAAATCACAACTTCAAACTGAATTTTCAAGAAAAATCTTTAACTTTCTTAAATCTTACTTATATTACTTTTATACTAGTAAAGAAATCAAACCTAAAACCCCTAAACAAAAGGCTCTTAAAGCTAGCTTCTACTATATCATTTACAAAATAGCTGAAGACAGACTTGAATTTCTTATTAAGTTTATTCGAAAAACTAATTCTAATACAGACAAAGCAATTACTATTCCTTTCAACATATTTGAAGAAACTTTCAAAAAACTTATTCTGGCATTTATAACAATTCTTTTTACAAAACTCAACTACTTCAAAATCTTTGCTTCTTCAGCTATTATTTCCTTATATACCAATCAAAATTGCATTCAACTTTGTATTAATCTGGCTTGCATTCATTTATATCTTTCAAACAACTACCAAGCAATTGATTACATCAAATTTTACTGAAGACTTTCAACTTCAACTTAAAAGATTTAGCATTATATCAAAAGTATCTGATTTTGACAAAAAAAAGCAATATGTTATAATTAGATCTAATAGCAAATTTAATATCTACCTTGATTTTAATATTTCAAAGATATTATTTTACTAAAAACTAAACATTTCATCTCTTGCAAATTCTTTAGATCATTTAAAACAATGGTTTAAACAATTTTTTCTAACATACAACTGACAATTTGCCAAATATTTAATAAAACTAAAGTATTTAACTCTTTAAAATATCAAATCTGACAGAAATTTATTTTTCATTTTAAAGAATCTTATCTACTGAAATACAATTTTAACAACCTTACAACTTACAAGAATGTTAAAATGAAACAATAAAATTAGCCAACTTTTATATCCTTACTTGAATTATGTATTCTCCTCCTTTTTAAGCTATAGAAAAACATTTGTGACCTTTGAAAAAATCATAGTTCATGGGCAAAAGCCTGTCAATCATTTTTGGCTAATTCTTCTTTGTCTCTAAGATTGAAACCAATTATTATCACTATAGAATTAATACATAAATGCACAAAAAAAACTGCTTTAGATCGTGAATTATGACAAAAAGCGAAGGATAATCCAATATATGCAAAAGTTCAACAGATTAATCATTCACTAGCCAAATTTGATCTTGATGATATTGATATAGATTGTTTTGCTAATGATGATCAAATAACAGATTTCTCATAGGAAAACTATACAATACAACTAAATCTGATAGATATTATTAGATCAGGTTTAAAAAATGTACAAACAGTAGACATTGCAATAAATTCTTTACACATAAAGGGTAGATTCCTTTCAAATCAGCATTCTACTTTTTTTAAAACAAATATTTCTTTAAATATTATGCCTAAATCTATTATAAATTATGATTTAACTGGAAAAAATAGAATTTGCTTAAGTAATGATCAAGATATCCACCTTTTTAAAACTTGGCAAATTACGATATTGACTCAAAAAATGATATCTCAGAATCAAGCTTTTAATGATTCTAATAAAAATTGCTTTGATCAATATTGTTCGAAAAATTTCTATAATTTATATTCTGATGCAATAATAAATAACAATGTGAATTATCTAGATTAATGCACAATAAAATTAAATAATAAACAACAAAAAGCTTACTTTCTTGTTTGTAACCACTATCAAAAAAATCAATCTAACTATGATAATAACCCAACTCAATTATTACTATATCTAACCAGGACAGGTGGTGTTGGAAAATTGAAAGTAATACATGCTATTTGTTCTTACTTCAAACTTACTTGTTAAAGAGACTCTATTATTGTTCTTGTGCCAACTGGTATTGCTATATCAAATATAAACAGATATACTATCCACTCTGCTTGTGGATTTGGAATTTATGGAACTTGCAATAATAATAACTTGACAGGTGACACTTTGTGCAAATTACAAGACTTTTTGAATAAAATACAATATGTTATTATAGATAAAATCTTTATAATTGGACTTATTTACTTGCTCATTTTCACATATTTTTAAAAGTTATTAAATCTTCCAACACATCTGCTCCTTTTGCTAGACTGAACATTCATTTTTCTGATGATTTTATGCAATTATCACTGGTTCTTGATCCTGCATTATATATACCAAGTAATGTTTCAAAAATTATTAATTTATCTGAGAAATTTCAAGCTGCTAATGATATAGAGCTAGATTCAAATTCTAAAAGACATAAGCATGCTTTATATAAGCCTTTAATTAATAATCATTCATTGATGAATACTATAGGAAGAAATTTATGGCTTAATGTAAAAAATGTTATACATTTAAAAAAATCCATGTGTCTGATAAATGATCCTTTTTATGTAAACATTTTGAACTATTTACACATTAGAACCTTAAATAAGCATCAGCGAGAAGCATTACGGTCAAGAATAATTAATGATGATAGAATAAAAAATGATGAGTAGAAAAATGCTATCTTTTTAGTCACAAAGAATGATTTATGTATTCAATTAAATATTGAATCCACAATAGAATATGCTTAAAACAGAAATCAATTACTTATATATTCTTGCTCTGAAGACACTTATTGCTGAAAACTTTTAACTAGATCCATACGTAAAAAATTTTTATCAGTATCCAATACAAAAAAAAACACACTCTCTGAAATTTTGCCTCTTACTATTAGAATGCCAGTCATTTTGACTGTCAATATTTGCATTTGTGATGGCTTAGCAAATAGTGCTAAAGGAATAATCAAACAAATAATTATTGATAAAGATTCTATTGAATTATTTTTATTAGAAAAAAAGTTAATCATACTTAAAAGATCTTCTATATACATTGTTATAGAACCAATCAATCTAAAATTGAATAGATATAAAAAATTATCTCCTAATAATATACCTATATAATCTATAAAATGAGGTTGTATATATACTACCTAAAAATCTGATAAAACTAAAATGCAAAAAAGATTTCAATGACTTTAACTTCCCTTAACTCCAGCTTATGCTTTTACAGATTTTAAATCTTAAGGCTGTACTTTAGAAAAAATAATTGTTAACTTATTGAATAATAGTATATATAATAGTGCATATGTGATGCTTTCTTAAATACAAAAATTGGATAACCTACTAATTCTACAACCTTTTAATAAATTTATATTAGATACAAAATTGCTTTTGACTCTTAATATAGAACTTAAGTGTTTAAATGAATATGCAAAAAGTTCAGTTAATCTAAATTACTGGTCTTAAGATGTTACTATATTTTAAAAATTTTTCTAATTTATATGATTATTAACAGTCACTTTTTTGGATAAGCAATAATTTATCATCATTTTTATAATAATATTAATCTAGTAGCATGTCCTTTTCTAGCATATCCTTTTCTAGAGTATCCATATTTTAATCTTACATAGAATAAAATAATAGTTTTTACTGTATTTATGCCTAATAACATTTAGGCTGACATTTTGAATCATGATCTAGATTAAGCTAAAATTCTAAATTTCACCTCTCACATTATTATGCACAATTACCTTTTCTTGATTATATTATAACATTAAAATCCAAATATTTTAGATCAGATTATTATTACAGAATTATATTATATTGAACATGTATTATTACCAATTCTCAAATAACATAATTCCTATTGTTTCATATTGTTTTTCTTATGAGCTAAGGTTGCTCTTAGGCACCTTGATTAATGAATCAATGTTCACTTTTTAAATTAATAAAACTTAGTTTGAACGATCAAGTAAGCTTGTCATCGCAATAAAAAAAAAGTTAAACTAAACTATCTTTTTTTATTATTGAATAATGTTTATTAATATAAGAATTATCTCAATTAATTATGATGTTTGTTTACAATCTTGTTTACTATCTGATATATTGAAAACAATCTTAAGAACATCCAAATCTACACCTTTCTCTCTAATCTAATTTTATTTCTCCAAATTTAAATAAATCAGTATTATATTTTTTTTTTTTTTTTTTGAATTTCCACAGCTTGATCGCTAGTGGTCAGCAGCTGGTGGCTGTTTTATTAGTTCAAATTTCAAGTTCACAGGACCTTCTATCAGGACCCCGTCTACATTTTTACATTTTTAGTT